CTGGGTAGGGGTATACTGTTCAAGAACAATAACCACATGAAGGTGGAGGTCTATACAGATGCCGATTGGGCTGGGAGTGTTGATGAYAGRYGRTCHACCTYAGGATATTGTGCCCTTGTGGGAGGAAACATTGTCTCCTGGAGAAGTAAGAAACAAATTGTTGTCTCCCGGTCTAGTGCTGAAGCAGAATACAGGTTCATGGCTAACGGAGTGGCTGAAATCCTATGGCTAAGATCTCTACTTGAGGAGTTGGGTATTGAGTATGAGAAGCCTTTGATGTTGTATTGTGATAATCAAGTAGCCATTAATATAGCACATAATCCAGTTCAGCATGACAGAACCAAACACATTGAAGTTGACCGACATTTTGTACGAGAGGGTCTCATCTTAAGAAATATGCCTCCCTTACATCGCATCCAGTATGCAACTAGCAGATATCCTCACTAAAGATGTATCAAGAAAGAAGCTAGAAGCGGATCTCTCCAAGTTGGGAATGATAAACATTTACTCCCAACTTGAGGGGGAATGTAGAGAAACTGATGTGAGCCCCACAGCTGTGGAGCCACTCTGTCCGTAGGGTAGAATGTATCTAGTCTATTTGTTATGTTATTCTGTTATTCTAGTTCTGTTATTTACTTTTCATTTTTTTTTATATTGTTAAGTGTTATGATGTAAACACCAAGGGCAGATATGTCCTTTCATGTAACTAGCATAACATATAAATATTAAATTGAAGTGGCGGCGGCAGATCATTGAGAATCTGTCCTTCCTTTTTCAAACCTGTGTTCTACTGCTCTCTCACTACTCTTTCTTCTTCTTCTTCTTCACCTTCTCTTCTGTTCGAACCTAAATTTTCTTAGTGTCCAAGACTGATCGCAGTCTTGAACACCTTCAAAGTTAAATACATTAATGACACGGTTTGAAGAAATTAAGGTTACATACATATGGCAGATCAACTGTCTAAAATGGGGCATAAATTTCGAAGACCAAAGAAATGGATTGGGAGACCCTAATTGAAATTTGAGAAATTCTGGCAAAAGAGGCACGAGGAAAAGAGATTTCCTAGAGGATCCTCATGCCTTTTCTTTGTAAATATCTGGGTAAAAAAAAAGAAAAAGAAAAACTGAACCAAACATCTACAACTGGAGCCAGCAACTCATAATTCAAAAAGTTCACCCATCCAGTCCATCTAACCTTTGGGGAGATGAGGGGTATTTTTACCAGTACAAACATCAGTGGAATTTATTAATAATCAAAAAAATGTTGTATAATATAATATCACAGGGCATAAGGTAGTAAGATACAGACCAAGAGAACATAAATAAAGAATCCCGGGCTTATCCCTTAGCACCCCACAAATGACCTATAGCCAACATAGGAAAGGTTGGCTCCAATACATAATTAACTAGTGAATGACCCCATACTCAGTACAGAGAAAAATGTGTCATTCGTATTTTTATTGAGACCTATCTAAGCAGTAACTTTGAAAACATTTAGGTTGAGTTTTCCTTTTGACTTAGGAAACTAATTTAGTTTTGATTATAATTAAATAACCTACTTTATCTAAATGATTGGGAACTGGATGAAATGAAGGAACTTTTGCAGACTATTCAGCAGGTCTCTCCTCAGGTGGGCCAAGCAGATTGTAGGAGGTGAAGATGGGAAAGAAGTGGTGTATATTCTATTAAATCCTTTTATTCCAGGTTGATCCAAGGTAATGAGGGGCCAGTAACGTGGAAATCTGCTACCCGATCCAAAGCAAAATTCTTTGTATGGTCTGCAGCCTTAGAGAAGTGTCTCACTCGGGATAATCAGCTTAGCAGGGGTAGAGTGTGCCTTTTGTTCTTGGGAGGTAGAATCTGCTAATCTTCAAGGCTTTGGACTTTAGTTCTTGCAACCTTTGGGTGGGTAGGATGTTTTCCTCTCTCCATTTTATCCTTTCTAAGGTGCTGGCATTCAAGAGGGATGAGCAAGAGGGTGAAGGTACTGTGGAGATTAATCCTGCTGGTGGTGTTTTTCTGTGTTTGGCAGGAAAGAAATGCTCAGGCATTTGATAATAGAGTATCAAATCATCAAGAGGTGCTAACAAAAGGAAAGTTATGCTCCTGGATTTGTGTACACAGGCATTTCAAAGGAGTGGATTATAATAACTTTATTGACAGGGAATACTTTGCTTTTCAATGTTAATTCTTTCTTAACAGAAACATTTAACAGATCCCGGGGTGTACACGAGTATAGTTGTATCTTCTTTTATTGTTTATATTTAATACAATACCTTACCTCCCTCACCCCAAAAAAAAAAAAAGAAAAAACTACTTTATCTAGAGGAATGGGATGGACCTACACCAATGCAACAACGATAGAGTGGGGCCCACTTTTTAAGTTGAAGATAGAATTTGATTTGTTATTAAAGGATGAGTTAACTTTTTAAGTTGAAGAAGGAAACAACACAATTTGAAAGATAGAGTGGGGCCCACTTCACTCTGCATATATTTTATTTTTGAATTAAAATTTATTTTTCATTTTCTGAGCGAGAGACTAGCCATATGTTTGAAGGAAATTCCCTCCTATCTGAAGGATTTGGTTAGCTTAGTCAAATAATTGATTAGTGATGCGATTCAAAGTTATGAAGTCCCGAAATACATAACTAAGGGGCAATCACGAGATGGTGATCCACATTGAATATTGACAATGAGGGTGGGTTTGTGAGTCAGAAGAACATAACCCAATATATGTCAACCAAGTCCACTAATCCCTTTTCTGGGGACTAAAAAATGAATGATTTAGGTCAAAACAACCAAATAGATAATTAGCTCATATATATAGGGAAAAATAAAGAAAAGAAAGAGAATCAGTACCAAAATACAAATAGAAAATGATAGTGAAGCATTGATAAGAGATAGAGAGGGGGGAAGACACATATGGGCCACAGCCAGAAAAGCAAGGGCAAAGGTTCCATAGATGTTCAGCAGATCATGGCATCATTTAAGGAAATATGGAAATAAATAATTACATGGAGAAGAAAATTAATCAAAGGAAACTCACTTGGCAAGTCAATTATTGATGGAAAAAGTGGAAGAAATGATCCAGGAGACATCATTCCTGGAAAAACCTTCATAAATGGTTTTTCCAATCTGCACGGATAAAAGGAAATAAGAAATGAATCAGAATCAGTTTTGGCCCTTGAAGAATTCCATTAGAGAGTTTACATAAGACATACATAAGACATACATATTGATGAATAACAAGACTAAAAGCATTTTATTAAGTAATAAACAGTGGAATACTAGTACAGAAAGCTTAAAAGTACAATGACTCAAAAACAATCATCAGGTAACTGACCCCCCCCCCACTGCAATTTATCACAATAATCATGAAATTATAAAGGTCTGACATCAGGATAAAAATCACACCGTGATAAGCTATAATGGATTCAAGAAAGCATCAGAAAATATCAAGAGAAGGAATTTTTTTTTTTTTTACAAGATGAAGTGTCCTGGAAGGCTACATCCTGGTAGGGCTGTTCAGAAAATGTTATAAACCAACAAACCAAACCGACTTGACCTGAGATGGTTGGTTTTCAAGAAAAATCAGTTGGTCTCGGTTTGAAAAATGCAAAACCCAATTCTTCAGTTTGGTTGAAGTTTATTATGTTGTAAACCAAAATCAAACCGTAGTTTAAATACATCAAATATTGGTGGGATATAACGGCAGTTCATTTCACAATATTACACTGGCTTCCACTGGGTCTTACTGTCAGCTAACAATAAATAAGTTGACAAAGCTTCCCAATCAATCCCCTTTATGCGTTGGCAATTTGGCATGGGTTTCCCAATGCCAATTATGATAGTGGGTCCCACCAAACCTTTATGTTATAACAAATGAACTTTGACAGTTTGACTAATAAAACTGTCCCATCTCCCTAAGCATGCCATAATCACATTGAGTCCCACTGGCTATTAAGCTGACACAGTGGCAGTATTGATCGCTGAATCTCCATTTTGTTTAACCAATTAAACTGACTGAACCGAGAAAAAACATTCAAAAATGATTTTGCGGTTTTACAAACTTCTCAGTCGATTTTGGTTGGTTAAATAGATAACCCGATAGGGTCAGTTCGGTTGGTCCAAGTACATGAAACTGAACCAAACCAACCTGTGTACAGCCCTACATCCTGGATCCAATAAATCCATAATCTCCTTTGATAATTATTCAACAGTAACCCATATGAATTGCCATCTATTGTTGAAATACTATTTTTGAATTGTTTCAAGGCATAGCTTGTAACCAATTGAGTTTGATTGCATGTTTTTGAGACCCAAACAAGATTTCTGTGCAAAAATAAATAAATAAATAACAGAATGGTAGGATCTTCCAAAACAAGTATCAGTCTAAAGAATCAATAATTAGCTAGATTGAAATCAGAATTATCAAGGGAGGAATTCTCATGCTTCTCTAAAGATGATATTCTCAGAAGATGGTCTGTGGTGGCAACTATGTCAGGTCACTAGAAGTAGAGGTAGAAGTGACATAGTTAGGAATTTCCCTCAAGGAAGAATAAAAATGAATTTTGATGGCTGCACCTGGTGATTCAGGTATAGGTAGCACCTTTAGAATACAATATTGGAGATGTTTTATTGGTATCCTTGGACCAATTGGAACTGTAAACTCTAAGAGCAGAACAAGTTGCACTTCAGGGACTTGAGATGGCTAATTCAGTAGGTTTCAGAGCTTGATTGTTGAAAGGGACTCCAGGACCACAATCTGCTGGCTGAAATGGGAAAGACCAGGACAAGCAAGGCAATTGGCTCATACAGTACAGACAAAACACTCATGGATTCTCTTCAGCAACTTCCTTGTTGACTCATTAGCCCAAGAGGGTGTTACTAGACAAATTACGAATTTACAATGTGTCAAGAAAATGTTTATGCTTTTGACCCTGTGGAGCTCTTTTGGGAGTGGAGGGAGCAGTGATGGGCTGGATCGAAGTAATACATGAATGTATTATAAAAATTATTTTTTTTCTAAATCTGTACTATATATTCTGAGAACATCAATAAAAATACCAGTTGACCAATAAAATCTAAACGACAGAAACCCCATTAGCAGTGGTGGAGAAAAGAGTCTTCTCAATTTGAGGAACCAGATGAGGTATTAATGGTGCATACAATATGCTACACAAAATCCAATTGCTCATGATTGCATGATAATGCAAACAATCAATGGATAAAGAACGCATGAAGTGACCACAATCAGGTTATGATATTATATATAATAATGAATAAGAACCAACAAAGAAGAAGCTACCTCTTTCCATTCCATGCTATCAGCTTTAGCAACAGTGGAAAGAACTGTAAATAAATGATGGAAGTTCAGGAAAGGACCAACATGCATAAAGCTTATCAAAAAAAATTAAGAGTGATACAGAATTAGAAAAATAAATGCTTTTTGTCTTACTCTATCAAGCAGTTTTAATCAATTATTTGATTAGAGGATATGCAACTCCAACACAAAACCATGGTGACCGATAGGAAACATATTTAGGCCCCGTTTGGTTCGCAGGAATAGGGATCTGGAATCGGAATCGGAATCGGAATGGGCTATTCCGATTCCAACTGTTTGGTTGGGCAGAATTGGAATCCCATTCCCATTTCTGCTGGAATTGCATTCCCCCATTTGAGGGAATGACCATTCCCTGCCCCTCCATTGGGAATGAAATCTCATTCCTGCTGATTTCAATTCCCATCCAAACAAACTATGGGAATGGACCATTCTGATTCTGATTCCAAAGGATTTCGATTCTGATTCCGGCTGTGAACCAAACGGACCCTTAATCTAGAATCCTCAGTTACAATCTCCTCATCCATATTTATATACAGATGTTAAATACGATTTCTCATCATGCTTTCAACATCCACAGAGATAGGATAAGTCACACATATACATACTGGTTACTGCATAAGTGCATGGACAGATATGGTATACAACTTTCCTTTCCCCATTGTATCATCAACTATTCTCCTAACTTCTCACGACGTACATGTTAGAATAAGGCTTTTTTCAGTTCAGTTGAAACTCTTGTTTGGCACTAAAATATTCCCTTGCATTCATGCAAAATAACCATACCTGCGGGAGCAAGGTCGGAAAAGAATTTAGGAGTTTTCTCTTGTTCATATTTAGAAAACCAAGGGTTGCTTCAGCAACAGTAGGATCTGCAAACTCACTGTGACAACATACGGAAAAGGTCAGCAATTACTTATCATCAGCTTTAAATTATTAAAAGAACATTAGCATTGTGAGCATTATTATATCTCAATTCCCTAAATTTCCAAGTTCTTATCTCAAGGGGAAAAAAGACAGTCAGAAGATAGGTGACAAAATGAAGCAGAAACCAAGCAAAACAAGCTAATGCTAACGAGGGGAGAGGACAGTTTAGACTAATACATCTCATATAATGCACAATTTGGTTGAGTTTTATCTTTCTAAACTCCATTTTCTTTATACATTGCTTGGTGTAATGGTAAAATCGGGGACTGACAAGCACACAGTATGCATGTTCAAGTCTGGGGGCGGCCATTTTGTGCCCCCCCCCCCAAAAAAAAAAAAGCCAAAGGTTAGGTATGTATCAAGTCCACCCCTCCTAAGACCCCAGATAGCTACCTAGGACCTGAATTGGGTAATGGCTTTTATTCTTGTTTTGATTAAGAAAAATAACATTTTGAGTCTAAATTATTTCTCCTCTTATTAAATTTAGAGATGCAGATCTTTTAAAAAAAATGAACAAACTAAAATTTATCCAGTGCAAATGTCATGAATATTGGCATGTAATTAGCCGTCACAAAAAATAACGAACTTATGGTGTTGAGATGCAGAGGATAATATTTAGCTATTATCATGATATGCCATTGACAATTGGCACAGCTAAGTTAGCATGTATTTAAGTATCCTCTCAGGCTCTCATCTGTGCAGGATATAATCAGTTCCCCTTAACTAGGGAAGCAACATGGGCTGGGTTAGCTTCAACCCAACCCAAAACAGTCAGGTTGGGTTGGGTTGGTTTGAAGATCAGGTTAGGGTCGAAAAATATGAATCTGACTTTAACTTTGGGTTGGTTTAGGGTTGAGGCCTCCATGAATATATGTAAATGTGTAAAGCGCTATAGCTCTGTCCTTGTACATATAATAATGACAAAACCAGTAAACCCTGATCCGTTAATCTTAAGCATAAGAACATTTCAGCAAAACTAAGGGAAGAAACTGGGCCAACCCAATCCCAACCCAACCCAAAAAAGTCAGGTTGGGTTAGTTTTGGGGGTTCAACAACTTGGGATGCGTTAGAGTTGACCTCGACCTGACCTAACTCAGCCCAACTTGCACCCCTACCCTCAATCTGTGTCCAATAAACCTTTCCCCTGACACCAAAATAAACCTAGCACACGAGACAACGGATGGTTAAATAGCTTCTTAAGCAGCTAACTTCAGGTATGAAGGATAAGACAACCATAGGAACTAGAGGGAGGAAAATGTCGATGCCTCACAAAGAATTAAGTCTATTAAAAGTCAGAAGTTGATACAAGTTAGAAGTTTTGTGAAAGGCAGCCTTTGAGGAGCTGATCTTACAAGAATCACATGAACTTTATGATGTATAAAATAAAGGGTAGGATAAGATTGTTCTGCAAAGTAGCTGATAGGTCACTTTTAGATGAGACAAAATCTATTGTTGAAAATTCATCAGAACTCAGAAGTATATGTTGAGGGAAGCAGAACTCAAAGTAAAAGTTGAGGGAAGCAGGACAGAAAATGATACTGAAATTTTGGAGCATCCAGACGCTGGTGGAAATTCTCAAATTGAGGGGTGGCTTATCTCAGCTTGCACTATTGATGATAGAGAGATTATTCCATAATTGGGGCATAGGACCATCATAAGTCCAAGTAGAGAACAATGCCTATTGATGATGTTTTCAGGCCCAATTGGAGTTGGGGACTCCACAAGGGCTGAACTCCTTGATGTTCTCCAAGGAATGCAATGGAGAAGAGACATGAACCTGAAATTGAAGGTGATCTAAGGTGGTGATTGGAAGGCTGATGACCAGTGAGAAAGCAGTATGGTCCACTAAAAATGAACTAAGGAAGATTAAATGGCTGACAAGGAACAAGCAAATAAAAATCAAATGGGTACAAAGATTGGAAAATGGTATGGTTAAGGCATTAGCCAAGCAAGGGGTCACTAGGTATCAATTGTGAAGTGAAAAGTATGGACTGGGATAGGTAGTAGAAAGTATCCTCTCCAAGGAGTGTATGAAAACTTTGTACATACCATGTTTATTTAATAAAATCTCATGTTACTTACAAAAAGAAACAAAGTAAAAATAGAAAAAAAGGCCAGTTGATGACATTGTGGTTGAGTTGGATTGAGTTAGTGGCAAGGATCCATATAATAAGATTGAGGGATAGGGATGATCATGGGCTGGGCCAGACTTAGCACCTATTATAAGAGCTACAGCTCAGGCTCTGACCTTACTATTAATGATCTTAATCCTCCTATACTTCTTATCAAGCTTATGTTTTTGGTATTTATAGTATTTCTATTCCTAAAAGTGTTATAGAGACTTTTAAAATATTGGATTTGGAACAAAGACATGTTGGAAGAGATTACTGATCTACATAAAAATCACATGTTGGAGCTAATTGACCTTCTTGGCGGGAAATAGGCAGTAGGATGCAAGTGCGCCTTTTTTATAAAACATCGAGTTAATGGATCGATGGAGAGATACAAGGTTAGGCTGGTAAAAAAGGGATTTACTCAAATATACAAGGTTGACTATACTGAAATATTTGCTCACGTAGCCAAGATAAACTTTATAATGGTTCTTCTATCCTTAGTAGCAATTTTTACATGGCCACTCCATTAGTTAAACATCAATAATGCCTTCTTGAATGGTGACTTAAAGAAGAAATATACATAATATAGTCACTGGGATTTCAACCTCCAGGTAATGATGGAAATTTATGTTGCTAAAAGAAATCCTTTGTACGAGCAAAAACAACCCCCAAAGGCATGGTTCAACAAGATCAATAGAGTTGTTCAGCAAGTAGGACTTAGACAATGCCCATCTAATCGCATATTGCCTGTTAAAGAGTAAAAGTATATGTCTACCCTGGTAATTTATGTGGATGGCATTGTTATTTTTTTTTTATCAATAACACTTTCATTAATTCATCAGTAGAAAATTTACAAGTGGAAGACAAACACACTTATCTTCCAAGAGTCACAAAGAACTTCAAGAAATGAAAAAAGAAAAAACAAAGATACAAATACACTAACGTTACAGCTTAGCCCAAAACAAAGAATCCCTTTCTGCC